CGTGCCAGCTTTCCCGATATCTCATTCATCTCACCTCTTGCCACTTCATGCCCCCGTTTAACATCTTTCCGTCTTTTCGGTTATGGATCGCACGAACTCATCAAGGCCACTGTTTCAGATGTAAATCATGGGCCTCCCTCATCTTCAGACGCTTCATTGCGACGAACTCAGCTCAGCGGCGATCACTTTCGTTGCATGGCACCCATCGTTGACTGAACTGGACATCTTTGTCCCAAGTGGTCATCAGTACGATTTTTCACAGTGTCCGCCTCCTACTCTCCCTCGGATACCACCTTTTTCCCGGATTAAAACCTTTGGGATGCATTCCGTTCATCTAAGCTCTATCACTGCATTTATTCAGGCGGTCCAACCCTCGCCCTCTCATTTACGTATTGCGACCAGCCAATGTTCGTCCCCTCAAGATTTTCAGGAGCTTTTCAGTACCTTGTCAAATAAACGGAGACATGAATCTGTGCAAATTATTGGAGTGCAGTCCTATCCGCCCCCACGAATACCCCTCAGTTGCATCCATTGATATGGATACCATCAAGCCTCTCCTTAGCTTCTCGAAGCTGCGAGAGCTCCATCTCTTGATAGTCAACTCCTATGATTTCTCAGACGAGGACCTTACTGCAATGGGTGCTTCTTGGCCTTGCCTTGAAGTCATCGACCTCAATAACGGTGATGCGCGGGCAACCATCACGCTGCGCAGCCTTATCTTACTAGTGAATAAGTGCGCTCATTTGAGGACCGCTCGCCTACCAATCAACGCAAATATATTGGAGGGAATAGAGGAGTGTCCTGCATCGATGGTCGGCGGCAAACGATCTCCAGCAAACTCCTGCTTCCGGGGACAGTTGTCAAAAATCCTAGAGCTGTTGCTCTCATCGTCTCTCTAGCCTTTCCGAAGGTGAAGAAGATAGGGGTGGGTGGATTGAGGCGGGGGTATATCTCACGAGCCTAGCTGGGACAAGGTGAATGAGTATCTCGAAGCGTTCAGATTGTTTCAAGGGGGACGTTGGAGGACCTAATTTTGTGATACCTCGTGAAAGCGTCCCGCTGTACCAATGTATTGATACATGCCATGGTAAGTAGTAGTGATTGCCGCTTCGTGACTCGTCTTGTCAACAGGATTCTATTCATTCCATTTACAGTCCGCACCTAGTACGCGTTTATATATATGTTGAACGTAGGGAGACCAGGCTCATCGTATCCAGGGTTTCAGCTTTGTCTTTGCTACCCATTTGTTTCTTGTAGTAGTTAATTCCTCCATTGCAGCAGTAAATTTGGGAGCTTGATGGCAGCTTGTATATTGAAAAAATACACTGACGAAGTTAAATTAGAATCGAGCTAGCTTGACTAGAGCTGCTACATTTTACCCTTCTTAGGCTGACTATACGTTACAAGATGCTTCTTCCACAGTCTCTGCCTTGCGTGTCAATGTTTCTGTCCCGATTCGCTACTCCATACGATTCCGAAGTACCGTCAATCACTGTGCGTGAATTGGGATATATGGATTTGCAAAGGCTTCATAGAATTATTGGGTTCCTCTTTTGGGTTCACTGACTGTGACACCGCTGGCAATCAGAGTGCGATTGTGGGTTGCTCCTGATGGCGAGGCGAATAAGTACCATGTAGAAGGCAATCGAGATGATGGGCATGATCTAGTTGGTTGAGGGTTAGCAATATCTTATAGCAGGTGTTAACGGTGATAATCACCATGTCTAGCAAATATACTGTCCATTGCTTGAGCTGATGAAACAGATTAGGGTGGAAATGAGCGTCGCAGAGTAAATTAGAGCGGCATCCACAAGTACGCGGACTATAGGCATCATAGTGCCTTTCGTAGTGCGAATTGCAGAGACGTTGCGTTCGATCGTCCAGATACGATATGCCAGTAATCCTGGATAAATTTAGGTTGCTGTGAGGCCTTGACGTCGTGTCCACGGAGAGGCATGCTTACCTGAACCTATCAAATTAGTTGAAATTGTCAAGGAAAAGAACGGCGTGATCCATTGTCCGGCCTGATTGGTGTAGATGTTCCCGTCGCCAGTCGCCCGCAAAGAGAGGGAGACCGCAGTTAAACCAGTCACTTCGACGAAAAATAAGAACACAGGCTCCCTGAGCACGATAACATTGCGACCTGACCTGCGACGCCCGCACCACAGCATGCTCGGTAGGATGATTGACCCAGACTGATCGCCAAACGACATAACAGCGATAAATCTTTTACATACAAAACAAGGCGGCATTCTTCGAGCTTAGAAGGTTTTAAAGTTGACGAATAAAAAAGTGGACACACCACCACCCCATCGCCAAGCAAAGTTTGCAAGGCGTATATCATATACTTAATCACATATGTTTTTTGATTAATGTCTTCGAAGAACGCCACCGATCCGCCAGGGAACGTGTCACAATACTTCACCAGTCCATCTTCGAGACGAATGATGTCCACGACCATGTGCTTTGAGAGAATTTAGCAACTGACATCGGGTGCAGAAGGCAGGAAGCTCACCGCGGTACTCAGTATCAACAGCAGGATTGCCACCACAGTGATCGGGCGATTGACAGCCCGTATGCCATGTTTGTGGATCGATGCCCAGATGGTACCCATAAACATGAGGACCGAAAAACCTGACCCCTAGCTTGGTAGGCATGGGACGGAAGAACCGAATGCGATACTCACCATATAAAATGCCTTCCAGTACTGTGGAAGCCACAACAGCAGCATCCAGAGAAATGCCTGTTGAAGCCATAGCGAAAATGATGGCTGGGGCGTAAGAGGGTGTTCATAATATATAGCAATGACATGACAACTTGAAGAGACCTCTTTGTCTGATGCGCCAGCGAGCCAGGTCCATTGATTGTGGTGATGTGAGGCTGTTATCTGCCCAGACTCAGAGAGCCGCCCTTCGCTCTTCGACGCTAAAGTTAGTATACCAGCGCCGCAGGAAAACTGAGCTCCACGTGTGAACCATGCTGCACTTTCAAGTTGATGGGGAAAGAGCTTGGCAGCGATATTGCAATCAAAAGTTGAAATATGGTATCCGCATCTCTTTAGCTTGCAAAATCTCTTCTGCCGAAGGCGCAGAGTTGCATTGGCCATACTGGTTGCTATTGCGGCCTATTGCAAGACACCAACCAATTGAACGACTGTACATGCATACGATCATTCGGATCACAGGCAAAATATGATGATCGATGTGGCAATGGACTGCCTGGGGTGCGGCAATGAGACGTATCTGGCGCATCTACACGGCTAGCCCCGCAACTGGAATCAGTGAAATGATACACACAACATCAGATCAACCACAACACCCCAATAAGGAACCAAGCATGCGGAAATATCAGCAGTGAAGGATGGAATATGTTCACGAGGGGTCGTCGTATCACTGTTAGTACGGTGTGGTATGGATATTATATTTCTATTCTGCACGGGGAAGGCGGAGGACATTGGTAAAACCTGATTTCGGTCTGCACTCTCAGTGTCGAAGGAGACGGAGGGGTCCCACTGCTGAATGCGAGCAGAGCTTGTGCTCGTGCTCGGTGTCAGCGTCACCGCGCCAGGAGTAGGCACCTTACCAATGAGCCATAACTAGCAAGTAGCAAGGATGGTTAGCGGGGCTTCGTAAAGAAGAAAAACGTAAAACGCACAGGTACCCATCCTTGATCGCCACCATCTTCTTTAATAGCCTACATAACGAGAGTCTAGATTTCGAAAGATGGTCGTGGAGTTGGTAGTAAGTACACGAGTTAGGGTCCACATGCACCCAATAGGGTGATTTGCTTCGAGAATGACAGAGTACCTCTGTGCAGCGTATATCTGATTGCGAGCGGCGTAACGTATTGTTAGCCCAATATCAGTCAAGGTAAGCTCAAGATCCATGTTGACGACGACTCACTCGATGCAGTCTGTTTCCTATAGGTGGATTAACGATGCGCCCATACCGACGCTGTGGTCGATATCGTCGAGGCTGCTGATGGTGTCGTCCAACCTACAGCTGAGTCATTGCAACATACCTCCCTACTAGTGCAAAAGTTGAGCTTGAGCTCTGACGTAGTGGATGCTGAAGCCGTCGCCCGCATCATTTTCTCGTCGTCAACGGAGTTGACTCCGTACCTCCATATTACGGCCGTACAAGTACGGTGATGTACGGGTCCTAAATACCCGTACACCGTATCCGTCAACCTCAAGCCTGAACGCCCAACGGTACGGTTACGGATACCGTATTATGGAGCCGTATGGACCCATCGTACGGCCTACGGTGAACAGCCCTATTCGTCAGGCTCACTGACCATCATCAACATCGTAGGAAAAATGGCATGGGTCTAGATGATCTGTGGAACTCGTAGACCGTCGCAGTATTGGACCTGAAGTTCACTGAGTCACCGATACGTGAAAAATGAGGCACGAACTCCGTAGATATAAGATCACCGAAAGTTTTACCTATGCAGAGGAAACGTCGCAGATACCGCGAGAAGAACCGCCCTGTTATGATGTCGGTGATAGCGACTTGATGAACATATAACACAACGCTGAAGCTGATCGAAAGACGAGGAGCAATATGCAGTAGTGCACTTTTTATTGCCTTTTGAAAGGGCTAAGTGCGAAGACATTGAGAGTGGTCCTGTCTTGTGTCACTGAGTGTGACAAACAAGTGATACGTACCCGCCACCTGGGTTTCCCAATAAGTAAGCCTTATAAGGCTGGACGATCACGTGTCTCGCCCAGCCTTATTTGGCTCAACAGTGTATTTTCCCCAACACCAGCATTAAATAATGCCCCAAATAATGTCCGGAATTGTTCTCTAAGGCTTGTGGCTGCGCGAGCCAAAACGGGTAAGCGATGCTTTGTTCCCACACTGCGGACAACATTCCGCACGTTGCCGGAACCTTCGTGCTCGCTGTTGCCCACAGCGAGCTCAACTACCACAGTATTTTACCACATTTCTTTGTATTTTTTTACTGTACTATGCAATGATACATTTAATAACATTAGTGTCGCATTTTTAAGCCCTAATGACTACAAACTAAGGGTATATACATGTATGAGGGCTGCAGAGGTATAATGGCTCCTCCACCTCACCTATTGGCCCTAGAGCGTTTCCCCCTGGTCGAAAATAATCCATTTTATGATTAGAACATGTCTATATAGTAAAAAATGCGAAATATAATTACCTGGAGGCTGGGGAGGGCGTTCTGAGGGGGTAAATGGGGGTAGGGGAGGGGAGGAGGGGGATTACATTGCCCTAGGCATCACAGAACCATCTATGGAGGTCCTATGAACATTCTGAATAGAGAGGGGAGTCAGTAGGAGGTCCTGGGGTTGCAAAAATGCGACCAAAGCAGGAGGTTGACTGCAGGTCATAGAAAAACCAAGGTAACTGCTCACCAATCAAGAGGACACATGAGCGGTGTTCAGAGAACATATTTAGACTCTATTTGAGTCATATGAGCCAGTACAAAGGGTGATAAAATAAGTATCAGAGACACAGTGTAAAAATGAACCAAAAACATGAAAAATTAAGAAGAGACTTACCAAGGGGTGCAGAGCGCAATGCTAGTGCATTGAATGGTGCATATAGCACCCCTAGTCCACTGAGACAAGTAGTACTTGTAAGGATGGGGAGGAGAACAGGTCAGAGACAGAATTGGTCCAAAAAGCGAACCATTGAGCTCACCAAGGCAAAGGAGATTCCCTGCATGTGTACCAGGGGGAAATAATGTCAGAAAGCGATGGGATACACCCTGTAGTGTTATTATATCAAGGGGGAGGAGCCATTAACAAGTGTAGGGCGAGTTAGACAGAAAAAAGTTCAACAGGGGGTGAAATCCACTCACCTTGCCAATACAGAGGCCCTGGGGGTATATAGTGACCCAGAGAGGTCACAGAATGATAAAAGACACCTAGATGTATTAGTGTAGTAAGTTTCATGACATACCAAATAGATGTGGTTGAGTTATGGTCAAAATGGATGTTGAGGAAGTAAACTACTCAGTCACTACAGTTGCCTTATGTGTACCGAAGTGCAGCCATACACATAAACCACTCATTTTGACCATAACTCAACCACATCTCTCTGTTATGTCATGAAACTTACTAGGCTAACACATCTAGGTATATTTTACCATTCTATGGTCTCTCTGGGTCACTATATACCCCCAGGGCCTCTGTATTGGCAAGGTGAGTGGATTTCACCCCCTGTTGAACTTTTTTCTGTCTAACTCGCCCTACACTTGTTAATGGCTCCTCCCCCTTGATATAATAACACTACAGGGTGTATCCCATCGCTTTCTGACATTATTTCCCCCTGGTACACATGCAGGGAATCTCCTTTGCCTTGGTGAGCTCAATGGTTCGCTTTTTGGACCAATTCTGTCTCTGACCTGTTCTCCTCCCCATCCTTACAAGTACTACTTGTCTCAGTGGACTAGGGGTGCTATATGCACCATTCAATGCACTAGCATTGCGCTCTGCACCCCTTGGTAAGTCTCTTCTTAATTTTTCATGTTTTTGGTTCATTTTTACACTGTGTCTCTGATACTTATTTTATCACCCTTTGTACTGGCTCATATGACTCAAATAGAGTCTAAATATGTTCTCTGAACACCGCTCATGTGTCCTCTTGATTGGTGAGCAGTTACCTTGGTTTTTCTATGACCTGCAGTCAACCTCCTGCTTTGGTCGCATTTTTGCAACCCCAGGACCTCCTACTGACTCCCCTCTCTATTCAGAATGTTCATAGGACCTCCATAGATGGTTCTGTGATGCCTAGGGCAATGTAATCCCCCTCCTCCCCTCCCCTACCCCCATTTACCCCCTCAGAACGCCCTCCCCAGCCTCCAGGTAATTATATTTCGCATTTTTTACTATATAGACATGTTCTAATCATAAAATGGATTATTTTCGACCAGGGGGAAACGCTCTAGGGCCAATAGGTGAGGTGGAGGAGCCATTATACCTCTGCAGCCCTCATACATGTATATACCCTTAGTTTGTAGTCATTAGGGCTTAAAAATGCGACACTAATGTTATTAAATGTATCATTGCATAGTACAGTAAAAAAATACAAAGAAATGTGGTAAAATACTGTGGTAGTTGAGCTCGCTGTGGGCAACAGCGAGCACGAAGGTTCCGGCAACGTGCGGAATGTTGTCCGCAGTGTGGGAACAAAGCATCGCTTACCCGTTTTGGCTCGCGCAGCCACAAGCCTTAGAGAACAATTCCGGACATTATTTGGGGCATTATTTAATGCTGGTGTTGGGGAAAATACACTGTTGAGCCAAATAAGGCTGGGCGAGACACGTGATCGTCCAGCCTTATAAGGCTTACTTATTGGGAAACCCAGGTGGTACCCGCGTGGCGCCCGACACTAAGTTGATTGATGTCTACGCTCGGCGTCAAGTACTCCAACATGTTCCTTAGACTATCATCTCTCGTTGATTTTTCCCTAGTCTTCTCGACTCCGATAAGTAGTACTTTATAAAGAGGTGCTACTGTATCATTGTCTCGAGGATCACAGTCTCTGCGAATCCTAGCACCAAACAGTGCAAGTACAGTCGGCTCCCATCGCATCTTTTCTGTTGATTTTTAAACTCGTCAGTTAGGTCTATAATGCACCGCGCTCTGCAGTTGGACGACATCATTTACATACTCTTCCGCCATGTTAATGAACTCAAACCATCTACGAAATATTCAGTACTAGGGGATGTTGGGCGGAAGACTCTTGCGACTCTTGCAAGGACGTGCCGAACATTCCACGAACCCGCCTTGGACGTGTTGTGGGGAAATCTGTACTTTCCGCACCCCTTGGTAGAATGCTTACCGAACTCACGCGATCAGTGGTCCTTGGATGTACGTTTAGTGCAACAGAGCTCTTTACTGAGTACTAACAACTGAATAATACTAGGATCATACGAATATCCTGACCACTAGCGATTGGGAAGTTCTACAGAAATATGTCCCGCGAGTCCTGTCTTTGACAATATACCAGTGCTATTCAGAGGCACCCTTTTATCACAACGTCTTGACTGCTCTTCGACAGCAGCCCGTTGCTCAGCCTCCCCTCCCAAATTTGCAGCGTCTTGATTGCCGCTACCTCATCCCTGAAGACTATCCCCTCCTCGATATTTTATTTGTACCATCTATGACAGATCTTACTCTCGAGATTCTTCCTGTCAGTTTTCCCAATATTCCACTGTTCATCTCACCTCTTGCCACTTTGTGCCCTCGTTTAACATCTCTCCACCTTTTCGGTTATGGCTCGCACGAGCCCATCAAGGCCGCTGTGTCAGATGTAATCATGGGCCTCCCTCATCTGAAGATGCTTCAATGCGATGAACTCAGCCAAGCAGCGATCACTTTCGTTGCATGGCACCCATCGTTGACCGAACTGGATATCAGTATCCCGAGTGACCATCAATACGATTTTTCACAGTTTCCGCATTCCACTCTCCCTCGGATTCCACCTTTTTCCCGGATCAAAAGCTTTGGGATGAATTCCAGTCATCTGACTGACATCACTGCATTTATTCAGGCAGTCCAACCCTCGCCTTCTCATTTGCATATTAAGGCGGTCCAAGGGCCGTCATCTCAAGGTTTACAGGAATTTTTCAGCACCTTGTCAAATCAACGGAGATGTGATTCTATGCAGAGTCTTCGATTCCAGCCCAATAAACGTTTCCCAGCTGCATCCATCGATATGGATACCATCAAACCTTTGCTTCGCTTCTCGAAGCTGCGAGAGCTCCTTCTCTCGACACTCGGGTCCTTTCAATTCTCAGACGAGGAGCTCGCTCTTATGGGTTCTTCTTGGCCTTGCCTTGAGGTCATCACCCTGAATGACGGTGATGGGCCCTGGCGAGTAAGGCCATCCCCCATCACTTTGCGCGGCCTCCTCTTACTGGTGGATAAGTGCCCTCGTTTGAGGAGCGCTCACCTAGCTATCAACGCATGTGTGTTGGAGGGGATAGAGGAGCCTCCTGTATCGATGGTTGGCGCCAATGACCTTCAGGATCTCGTGCTTGTGGAAACAACCGTCGAAAATCCTAGAGCTTTTGCTCTCATCGTCTCTCTAGCTTTTCCGAAGGTGAAGGAGGTAGTAATGCCCCATTCGTGGTGGCGTATTTCGTCTGACGAGCCTAAGTGGGGCAAGGTGAATGAATACCTCGAGATGTTCAGGTCATCCGAGGGGGACATTGAAGGATCTAGTTGTGTTGATGCCTGAAAGCTGGTTCTCCGTCTCCCGTGTACCAATGCATACTAACATATTTTGATTGATGTAGTACAAGTGATTGCCGCTGCGAGGCTCGTCTGATCAATATGATTGTATTTAACAACCTGAGAGGAAGAATGCCTTGTGCGCACGATCCACTTCGAGCGTGTCCTCAGAGTGTAAACAAGAAAATTGGATTTAAAAACTACAGGTAGTCTTATTTATGTAATACTTGTCATCGTACGTGAACAAAAATATAGGAACACTGTCAAGAAATGTGTAAAAGATGAGCCCATAAGTGATAAAAGAAACGAACGGACAGTCCAATATTGTCTGTCAAGTACCGATGGAGTGGGATACCCCCTGGCGGGGGGTGGTGTAGGCAGGGATTTGCCAGCGTTTGTGTAGCTTATAGAACCTTCGGGCATTGTCGTAGGTAGCACCATCATTAGCTCGAGCCACACCAGCTCAGTCTGCCAGAGGCAGGCTCATTGCCAGTCGCCACCAGTCCACCGATAAAAGCAAAAAAAGGGCAGTACCGGCAATAAAAGGAAAAGAAACAAATCAAAAGTCGTGGGTAGCAGAGATGAGTCCATAAGTAAAAAGAGAAACGGGCAGTACCGGCGATAAAAGGAGAAACAAACAAATCAAGGCCTTTACATGCAAGAGATAGAAGGGGCTTTGGGTAGATGTGTGCGGGACCGCGGGCGGTGGCCTGCAACTTCTTGGAAAGTGGAAATCCAGGTCATAGGGGGGGACCTCTGACCGCAGAGACAGGCTAGGCGCGTAGAAATGTGCTGGTCGTTATTGAGTGGCGTGATGGTCAGTCTTGAAGAAGAGTGCTATGTAGCCGAGAGTCCTCAAATGGTCGTGTTCGGAAGCGAAAGCGATGGTGGTGACAGCATTGATGTGAGACCCAGCTCTGCCATGGCAGCAGCCCAGCCGTCGACGAGGGCTGCTCGGTCGACGAGGATCTCATTGTAGACTTATTCAAGGTGACCTATATGAAATGAGTAAGCGATGCGGGTGACACGAGAAATTACTCACTAATCATAATATTGTCTTGCTTAAGGTGTGAATGCGCGATGCTGTCACGCGCGGCAACTAGACAAGAAGCTCTGGGACCGTACTAACAAATTGATACAATGAGCGTTGTACTCGGTTTAGCGACAGGTACCTGAATACTAACCTTCTGTTTGCTGAGGTGCGACCTTTGATGTAGAAGCGCCGTAGCAGGGTGAGGTAGGAGTCTGTCGGTGGCGCGCTTCATATCCGGAGGCTTTAGATGCGGTCTCGTCGTCCGAGGCAATTCTTCGATGGGGCTGGCAGATCCAGGATGAGCGGCGAGGTCGGGAATGGCGGATGTCGTCTGGTGTAAGTTGTCGACTAGTAAAATAAACGGCTGCAAAGTGGGACCATCTGAGTCGCCGGGGATGAGAGTCTTCATTCCTGGGGGTGGGTTGCTTGAAAGTTTGTCCTAGAGATTCAAACATTGGTAACTGATGAAGTTTAGTGCACTGTGCGGCGGCTTCGTACCTCGCGGAGAGTGCTTCCGTCACCATGACTTTGGTGTCTGAGTCAATGCTCGGAGACGAAGTCGTCCGAGTCGTCGTGGGCTACGACAGTAGTGTCAGAATCGAGCAAGAAGCATTTGGGCCTCGGAATTGGTGTTGAAGTTAGCCATGGAGAGTAGGGTGTAGTTGAATATGCAGTGATTGGCGAGACTTCGGTTGCGATTACATTTAACGAGGATGATGCA